TCAGTACTGAATATCACTATGCATTAGAAGATTTGAAAGCTGGCTCTGAAGGCAAACAAATTCTACTCTAAACATTACTGAAAACTGTGCTATTTGGAAATGCATGCACAGATCTCTTTACAGCATTAAGAGGCTATTTGGCCATTATCCTAGTCTGCAATGCTTACCTTTCAATTTATAAATAAAGTAACCCTTAATTTATTTGGACTTCCCACAGTCATATTCCTTTATCCAGCCAATGTAGCTTCTGTACACCACTTCTGTTTAGTCAATACTTTTATGTCATCCTGTATTGTGTACTGAGATTAATCTGCTCTACTGTTTTTATTGTCATGGCACCTTTTATAGATTAAATAAAAACAGAGGAAAGTGTACCAGAATATTCTCAGACAGGGCTAATACAGAGGAAATCTTCATATAATGTATTAACTTTTATTCATACTATTAGTTATTTACAGGAGAAAATATAGTTCTAGAGAACAAAGCATGCAGATCTTCCTTTGTAATAGCACTAGTAGCAGATGTATTAGTATTAGTATTTATCACATAGGATTAGATCCAGAGTAAAACAGTCACACTTATGTCACACATGGAAATCAACATATAAAGTATTCATATCATATGAACATATGAAAAAAAATATGTGATTTTGTACACTGCCAAATCACTGAAGGTATTTGTGAACCCATTAGAACAGGCCAAGGATCCATTGTCTCCAGTACTCGGTTTCCAACAGCAATAGTTGAGTATTATCTGGGAAAGCCCATGGAAATTCTGGTTTTAGGTATCATGGTTTAGCTTTACTCTATTAAAAACAACAACAACAACAAACAGCAGTTCATTGTCTGTTTCACAATATGCTCTGATCTTGTTTTTGCAAAGAAAATGGAACTTCTTCATCTTTTGGTCTCAATTATGTCTATCTGATTTTTACATTGATTATCAGGTGATGTTCATATATACAGTTACCTCTTTAGCTGCTTGATGAATGTGTTTGGGATGAAAAAACTATTGGTCTCACAAAATCCATTCAGGCACTCTCCCACATTTCTTGATCCTAGGCCAAATTTTCCTACAGTCTGTGATAGTTATTTCCCTGCTTTTGCATTCCTATCACCTATAATTAAGAACATCTTCTGTTTTGGTGTATGATCAATTTCCTACTGGACTCCAGCATAGAGTTTTTCAATGTCTTCTTCTTCTGCTTGTGTAGTTGGAGCATAACTTGGAATATGGTATATTGATGCTTTTCCCCTGAAGTCTTATTGATATAATTTGGTCAGATGTTGCACTATATCCTTTTTCAGCTTTTGCTACATCACTCCTCACTATTACGCCAGCTGCATCTCTTCCTAAAGCTGAAGGACCTAAAGATGGTAGTGCACGCACTGGTAATCCTAAGGGGGACTTTTGCAATGTGGTCTGCATTGGGCTACCTTTGTATCATTGGGCTACATTAGGCTACCTTTGTACTAAACTTCAATTAGTTTAGAACATGGCAGCAAGATTGGTTACTGGCACATCCAGGAGAAATCATATCGCACCAATATTGAAGTCAATCCACTGACTGCCAGTTAGTTTCTGGGCAATGTACAAACTATTAATTATTACCTTTGAAGCCCTACATAGTTTGGGTCAAAGTTACCTATAGGATGACCTCTTCCCATATCATCCACCCCATACACTCAGGTCCTCTGTGGACATTTACTTCAGTTAGCCAGAACTAGGTTGGTGACTGTCAGCCAAGGGACTTTTTCTTCAGCTGCCCCTAGACTGTGGAATGACCTGTTGGAAGAGATTCAATAGCTGAATACACTGTCCACATTTAAAACAGCATTGAAGACTAATCTCTTCTGGCAGGCCTATCCTGAGGATTTTTAAAATTGTAATTTTTAGATAATGAATTTTAAATGTAGTTTGTTTTGATACATATGTCTTTTGTTTGTTCTTGTAAGTTGATGTATGTTTTAACTGATGTTGTGTTCTTAACTGATGTATATTTGTTGGTCTATTGTTGTTCCCTGCCTAGATCCATGGGGAGATGCAGCTAAGAAATAACAACAACAACAACAACAACAATGATAGCCCCCATTTCTGCTTAGATTTTCATTTCCTGAGTAAGACATTGTGTAGTTATCAGACTCAGAATTTCTCTGTCTACTTTAGCTCACTCACCCCAAGTATTGCAATTTCTGTCTACTTTAGCTCACTCACCCCAAGTATTGCAATGTTTACATGTTCCATTTCTTGTTTTCCTATGTCTACTTTCCTCTGATCCATGCTTCCAATATTTCCGTATAATATGTGTTGTGCAATTTTGGACTTTATTTTTACTTCTGAGCACATTGACAGCTGAATGTCCTTTTGGCTTGAGTCCAGTTGTGTCATTAGCAATAGTGCTACTTGTAGTTGTTTTCTGTTCCCCAGTAGCTCACTGAGGGCCTTTGCAGACTGCGAGAAATAGTGCACATTAAATTGAGGCACTGCCCTGGCTCAGTGCTAGGGAGTCATGGGAATTATAATTTTTTCTGAGACATTGAGCCTTCTCTGTCAGGGAGCTCTGGTGCCACAATAAATTACAGTTCCCATGATTCCCTAGCACTGAGCCAGGGCAGTGCCTCAATTTAATGTGCACTATTTCTCACAGTCTGCAAAGGCCCTGAGTGTCATCTGACCTTGGAGTTTCATCTTCTGGCACTCTCTCTTGTTTTGTTTTGGATTGTCTTATCATGGGGTTTTCATGTAAATAGACATTCTAAAGGGTTTTACCATGCTTCCTGCTTCACAATACTATTAGCTATGGTACACTACTATTAGCTATGGTACACTACTATTATTTTAGAGAGATCCTCCACCAGTGTCACCCCTTATACTGCTGTTGTGCAGTAGGGTGTTTTTTGTTTTTGTTTTGTTTTGGAGGGGGGCATATTTAGTCTGGCTTCTCAGCAAAAGCCAGACTGTCATGGGAGACCCTAAACAGCAGTACTGCTACCATTGACATAGGGGGGTTGCAGACTGCCAGAAATAGTGCAAATTGAGTCCACTTTTAGGGTTAGGGTTAGTGCTAGGGAATCATGGGAAATGTGTTTTTTTTCTGAGATATTGAGCCCTCTGTCAGAGAGCTCTGGTGCCACAATAAAATACAGTTCCCATGATTCCCTAATCCTAACCCTAACCCTAAAAATGGACTCAATTTGCACTATTTCTGGCAGTCTGCAACCCCCTATAATCTCATAGAAACATGGAGAGCCATCACTGTTGAAAGGTAGTGCTGTGGTGAGAAAGACTGCATATTAAAACAAAATACTCATAGTAAAAGTGAATTTTCCACATTAACAAAGAAAGACACATAAGGTCAAGGAAGATTACACATAAAAAATCACAGAACATTTTTGTACAAGCAGTCCATTGTGTTTGTTTGTTTCTTTGATTGATTGATTATTTTTCCTTCTGCATAGAGTAGAGGAAGAAATGTTGGATTTAATGTAAAAAATAAGCAACCATCTCAGTGGAGGAAATGAAAGATTTTTTTTCTCTGCTGTGTGGAAATGTGCTGGTCTCATTCTATCAGAGTGGTTAGAATTTAGCTGCATTTCAATGATTCAGTTGGCTTCAGTGGAATATAAACAGGATTAAATAACTTTGCTTTGAGCATAAATATTGATAGAAGATGAAATTGGAATTGAGATTAATTTACCTTTCCAGTTGAGGGTGCTGTTTTAATCCTGGAGAACAGTATATAAAAAGGAATAAGAGCATTTCCAAACTAAATGTGCAGAGTACAATTCAATAGTCATCTCTATCACAAATGCCCATCTAAGATGACATAATGAGATCTGTTCTTGAAAGGGATGTGATTTTTTGTAAATTTCATTTTCACAGGAAAGAATAAGTAATTTGACCATTTCTACTAAGAGAAAGTCATTTAAAACTGCACAGTATTTGGAGACTATTCACAATTTGGGACTTACCATGTGCATTTATGCACTTTTCTGCAAAAAAAGAAAAGTAAAACACATGGGCTGAAGTATTGCTAGCCAGTTAATAAGAAAACAAAAGATAATGAAAACAATTAAGGAGAATTGTTCAGCTGGGAGTTTTAGTAAATACACGACATAACCAGACCCAAGGAGTCATGACCTTGATAGAAGCCTAGTAGAAAAACCAAAGGAAAGAGTGAAAGAAACAAACAAAGAATAGTCATGCTTGAAGCTCCATGGCCAGAACTTGTGGGTCAGAGATCTCTGATATTTTGCCTCTTCAAGCACATTATGAGAGGAGAGGCACACAGAGGAGAGGAGAGTCTTATGAGCTCTATAAAAGAAAATGATGAAAACAAAATGGGTCTGAGCTCTTACTAGACCATGCCGGAAGATACAAATCTGCTTGGCCAATTGCAATCCCCAGAATGGGTGAGATGGAACTCATAGTACATTCCATTGGCAACGGAGCAACATTTTATACAATATTGGTTACACACGAGCATAATATATCTCATATTACATCTGTCAAGGAATGCACATCTCTAAACTGGAATCTAAATATATTTCACTAAACCAGCATGCATATTGTTACAGAGAGATTAATTCTGTTTGTTCTGCTGACATTATTCAAAATAAAGGTAAAAATAAAGACATTAATACTTATTGAGCATCAGCCATAACATACTTATGTATTCCTTTTATCCATAGGGGAGAAATGTATATCTAGAAAGATACACAGTAATCTATCACAGAAGGTTCCATGTAAAGATATTGTAAACTTTACTTTATTTAGACATCCTTCTAGAATATAAGTACCATATTTATTTCAGCAATTCAGCTACCCAATATTTTTACAAAAGTCTAAGAGAGTGAACTCAAGTCTTCTAGTAGGATTAATTCATGTTGAAAATGCAGAGTGGTCTTTCAAGTCACACAGAACTCTTCATTGTATATCTTTACAGTTTTGATTAAAAGCATGAAAAAATGTTAAAAAGCTTGGGGATGATGTTAAGCCTAGTTTGTGTGATGTAGTGGTTTGAGTGTTGGACTACAACTCTGGAGACCAGGGTTCAATTCCCAGCTCAGCCATGAAACCCACTGGGTGATCTTGGGCATGTCACATGCTCTCAGTCTTAGGAGAAGGCAATGGCAAACCTCCTCTGAACAACTCGGCCAAGAAAATCCCACTTTAGGATTGCCATAAGTCAGAAACAACTTGAAGGCAAACAAAAACAACATCAACAACAACTCTTCTACTGCTGGTGGGGAAACCTGTTCACTTGGCATATTCCCATTACCTCATCAAATATTTTAACTGTATTTTGGATACATTATAATACATGAATTGATATCAAACCTAGAATATCCCAGCAATATAAATATCCAATGCATGGAACTACGAGTTCAAAACATGGGAGATTTTATGAAACAGCACAAGTGACACACATTAACAAAGACATCTTGATGGAGAGCATATGTGTGCAGTGGCTAGCAATTACAATTAAGGCTTAAAGACACCAGTGGATAAACAAGCAAACTAAGGCTTCATTGTAAGAATGCCATTAAAAATAAGAAAGCTCTCTAAGGGTGCTGACCTAACATTGTACTGAGTTAATTTCACTTTTGTTAGAAGTGAGAGACCAATGAAGCAGGGTGGGAAGGAGTAGAAAGTTCTTTAAGAGTATCAACACAGAGAGGTGAAGAGACTTTGAATCCCTGATAACTACTTAACCCTGTTGCTACTGTTCTCTCTCTAAGACATTTTGAACTATATCAGTGCTGAACATTATTGCATTTCCAACTCCTCTTGCATTAGCAACTGATAGCTCCTTGTGGAATCTCATTGGAACTGGTGGTGCTCAAAATGTTCATATGTACATGAAACAAACCCTTCACAATCACAAGCAACCACACTGAAACTCACCCTTTGTTCCGTAGTCTGCTGGTTCTCTCAATTTCATGTACTTCCTGGCAGCAGTTTCAGGATCAGTGCTGTATTGAGCAAACAATGATAGAAATCTTCTTGCAGGTGATATTACCAGTCTGGAATCAGCATGTTAAAATACAGAGTGGACAATTGGAAGGTTGGGGGGCCTGCATTAGCCCCCCCCCCCAGGAGAGGGCATCACAACCCATAGTAACTGCATTTGAGGAAAACAAATAATTGCCCCTCTTGGGGACATGGGGGGCATTTTCACTATGTTGTTTGATCTTCCCTGGTGTACTTTATGACCAGAAAAGGCCTTTTAAAACAAGATGTGAGTGGAAGTACATCCACATTGGCTGCATCCACCCAGCAGAAATAATCTAGTATGGCACCACTTTAACTGCCATGGTTCAATGCTATGAAAGTCTGGGAGTAGTTTTGTAAGGCATTTAGCCTTCTCTGTCAGATAGCTCTAGTGCTACAAAAAACTACACCTCCCAGAATTCCATAACATTGAGCCTTGGCAGTTAAAGTAATGTCAAACTGGATTATTTCTGCAGTGTAGATGCAGTTTTCTAGGACTAAATTGGATCAGGGCTCCTCAAATTTATTTATTTATTTATTTATTTATTTATTTATTGAGATTGCATCTTTTCAGGTCTGAGGGCCCCATGGTGCCTCCAATCATGTTGGTAATGCCTTACACATCCCCTAGAGGGCATTTGGAAGCCCTCTCTTTTTGCAAAATATTTTTTGACTGTTAGGGGGCCTGGCAACATACAGCACAAGCCAATATTCACTGTTTTCCTTTACTTCAGCGGTGTTACTACTGCAGCACAGTAATATTCCTGTTGCTTCAATACTAAAGAAAAGTTTCCACCTCCATAAAGATTTTGTGCTCTTTTTTACTTTGGAATAATTGCAGAGGGATGAAGTGCATTACAGGAAGCATAATTTCCTCCCACCCAAGCCAGCATTTTGGGCTCTCTGCTAACTCATTACAGCTATTTGACATAGTACAAGAAGTTCTGTTATGTGGTAATCTGTTGTCTTGTCAATACCCACTTATTTCATTTACTGCCTAGTAATTTACAATAACTCTGGTTAAAGAGGATTTCCCTCTATTCAGACTAAATTTAATCTTCCATTTTTATGCAAGTTTAATCACTCACCAGTTACTATGAGCTGTCTCCCTCTTTTAATGAATATCAAACACCTTTTAGAAACTGAGTGCTACTATGTGAAGATTAAATTGCCCCCCTCTCATTTTCTTTAGGATGATACCTTTTATTGTTGTCCCCATAAAATGCATTTAAAATCTTCAGTAATTAATTCTCCTTCTTACTGAACCTGATTCCCATTCAACTCTGCCATTCACTTTGACTCTTTTGAGGCAGCTCTACTAAGAGAGAGAGGAGGGAGGGAGAAAAACCGAGCCGAGAATACATTTAATTTTCTTTTTTTATCAGCACAAGAACAGACCTCAGTGCAATGCAAAGGATATGAAAGGCACATAATTTGATGACTCTGGGTCTGAGAACATGTTTTAAAGTCCATTATGACCGATGTGAGAAAGTTGATGCAAGTATTGCTGTACATCCTGCAGGTTGGAAAAGCCTGCTTGTTAACAACGGACAAGAGGGAGGGCTTTGTTAATTGCTAGCCATCATGGCTCATTGATTAAGCAGTTTATTTTTCATCCTATGGGGCATGTGATTTAACATTTGCATTTTAATGTCTAAAGGAAACCATCATTGGACATGTGACAAATCACTTGGAGACATGCAGATGTGGGGAGCCACACTGCTTTGCATATATTAATTGGGAAACATCTAGACTTCAGACAAGGCATGTTCATGTACCAGATCTAAGGCAAGCAATTCTGAATATTGCTGACTTGTGTCCTGGGAGGAGGGGGCAATGTCTGGCTTCATTCTTGCATTGTAATTAGAACTCTCCAGCATAATTTACCAGAAATCTCAACACTGTCACATTACATTCCTCAATACATTCATCTGCTTGAAAGAAAAGGCTGTGGGGCAAGGGGATACTGCTAATCCAATGCTGAGTGGGCATGGATGGAGATGATTTTACTGTATGTCAAAAGCCCTGTGGAAGGAGGATAAAATACATCCATTAGGACTTAGATTTTTTAATTGATTTCTTGTATTTTTTCCCCGACACTAGGTTGAGCAGCTGTTCTCTATGTAAAGAGTCACTTTGCTCTTTGGAAAGATGAAACTCAAATGCATTTATTTGATTTGTTTATTTATTTGTATGCCACCTTTCTACCAGAAGGGACCCAAGGCAGAGAAAGAGCTCAAGGTGCATTTGGATGTGCACACACCTGGCATTTATGGACACTTTTTGCAGCAGCTACCTCAGAGTCATTTCCATGTTCATGTGACACAAAGGAAAGAGACCTCTGACTTGTTTGCTTGCGCCTTAACCTACTTTTCTTGCTAAACTGGGATTCAAGGCAGCTCATGAGAAAATTTTTTTAAACGGCCAGATAAAATCATAAAAATTAATAATGCTAAAAATAAATTTAACAAATTATATAATTGAATTAAAAGCAGCACCCACTCATTAAAAGTGCCTTCCTCCAATGATAAATAATGACCCCCCCAAACCCTTTGAATGAAAAGGTATTTGCCTGTTAGACAAAGGAAATAGAACATGAGCAATCTTGGAAGGTCCTGGAATAGTCTCCTTTGGGAGATTGTTTTAAAGCCTAAGGGGAGCCAATGAAAAAGCCCTCGTCTGATGTCCCCACTAAATACACATCCAATAGTGGTGGGACTGAAGGCCTTTCCTGAAGTTCTCAGAGCCCAGGAAGGCTTGTACATTTTTGTTGTTGCTGCTGTTGTTATTGTGTACCTCCAAGTCATTTTTGACTTATGACAACCCTAAGGTAAGCCTATCACAGGGTTCTCTTGGCAAGTTTCTTTAGAGGGAGTTTGCCATTTTCTTTCTAGTATAGTAGGCCCTTGGTATCCACTGGGGTTTGGTTCCAGTATGCCCTGTAAATACCCAAATCTATGGATGCTCAATTCCCATTAAATACAATGGTGTAATAAAATGTATTCCTGATATTTTTTTTTTAAATTTATATTTTTTTTGACTATTTTCAAGCCACAAACAGTTGAATCTGTGGGTAAGGAATCTGTGGATATGGAGGGTATATAAATGCATTTTCTCTACTTTTTCTCTACTGCTTGTCATTTAAAGCAATGTTTCCTCATTTCTATGAAACCTAGAAATCTCCAGCACTTAGAGGAAGAGAACGGGTGATTTATATAAGCCTAATGCAAGCATCTGGATTGTTCACATCCAGGTTAAATGAGAAGACGTGTGTGCAATCCTATATTGATCAAGAGGTCTGACAGGGACTTCAAGCAAATGGGAGTACTATCTTGCCTCAGACTTCCACATGAAAATGTGAGGGACTAAGGGGATGGAGAGGCTGAGGTCGGGGCTTGCCTGCCCACTTCACATGCTTAGCCTTCCCATGCGTAGGATGAATGCTTACACTAATTTATTTTGTTAAGGACATAAGGCATCAATGCAATAAACCAGGCCTATGATCCATAAGGTTGATCAAAATCTGTAGTCCAGGTTTGGAGGTCTAGGCTTAGGATGGATATCCTTCCTTTTTGCTCCAAGATGCCCAGGACTGCCATAGTGGCCTGAATGCATGCAAAACGTATGTACTGTAGTGGGGTTTTACTTCACTCCTGGGCCTTGTGCTAAGAAGAGGAATCACCACACCAACAGTACTGTAGATATGGTGGGTTATAGACCACAAGGGCTGCCTGGGAGAAGCAGGGGACTGATCAGTTGCCAAGGGTATGGACCCAGTCATCCTTCCTCCTTTGTCCATAGAAGTTGTTTATGTTTAACTATAAAGTGTAACTTAAAAGCATTCAAAATTTGAAGCATATCAGAACCTAATATCATGAGAACACAATTAGAGAATGAAATTTTGACATATATTTCTAAAAAATGTATGAAGAAAAGGCTGATTGCTTAAATTATTCCATGTGGTGACTGAACATGAATGAAGGATTCTTAGCCTATTAAACTTAACCAGTATTACTTTCAAAAATGTGTTTATCTTGGGAGGGGGTCTATAATTTTTATAAGCTTTTCAAAGGGGCCT